TTGAGCACGTTTTCTTCCCTAAAGTAAAACTATTTGAGGCTCTAGTAAGGAAGAGAGTGCTTTGGCCTAGTATTGTCCTACAAGTTGAGTCAAGGGATGTCTAAAAAGTGTTTGATATAGATAAAAAATTACGAGACAAAAAAAGGTTTCCTAATCGGAGACGTGAGATCACCCATAGGTGATCATTATAAATCACCATGAACGCCTTCCTGTGCATCTTCCTAGATTTGGAAAACTCCCTGCCTAATCGCTCAGAGAAACTTTGAGTGTAATGATATATATTCACTAGCATATGCGTAATCAAGCCTTCGCAGACTTGTGGGCATCTTAGTAAGAGCGATGGTAGGGGAAGTATTGGAGAGGACGAAACAGAAGAAGAAAGCATGATCCCATAGATTCTTGGATCCCGCGCGATTTGCCCTATGTTTTTCTTCCCAAAAACAATTTGCGGTTTGCCCTCCGAAGATCTGCCGCCAAGATTTAAGGAGCAACCAAAAAATTGTCTGTGTCGTCGCTTCCGCTTCGTCTTCAAGCTCACGATCTGCTCCCATGTACACTTTTCACTACCCGCATTAGAGCACTACGCTTTTTACAAAAGCTAACTTAGCATGTAAAAGAAATAGAAGCCCTACACACTGGATCACATCTTCGGCGTCGGATGTCATCAAGACTACTGTTAGGTTGCACAGGACGCCATGGATTTCGGACCAAAGGACACGTTTCACCAGATTATGAAGTTATCCCATGCTCTGCACCTACGTTGCCAGGACAGTCTCCACAAATGCCAATCTTCACGTCCCTCTCGAAGCTGCAGGGCGCATCAACTATCACGTAATTGCCTTGCAGGAAACAAAGTCAAGGAAGACGGACTTGAGGCAGTGAGTGATGGCACACTCATCATTCGTGGTGAGAAAGTTCCATCACGGAACGTCAGAGGCGTTGGATTTGTCGTACAGCCATCTGTTGTCTATCTCGATTCGCATGAGATCCTATCTCTCCTGGCTATCCTTCGACTCCATCCTCTGCATCAGAAAACCATCACTATCATCAACTGTTATTCTTCAACATCAGCAGCTAATGATTCAGAACTTGATGCTTTTTATGAGGATTTGGAGGAAGTCATCCGCAAAGAAAACTCTTTTCACAAGTTCTTTGCGGGTGACTTTAGCGAAAATCTGCTAGAAGAAGGAAAACACATGATCGGGAGATTTGGATCAGGACTCCGGAATGGATTTTGAAAGCCGCCAATTGCTAGAGAGGAGAAGAGCACTGAGGCTGGATCCGACTGCATCACATCTCGAGCGACTGGTAACCAATAAGTTTCAGAACAGCTTTGCAAGAAGATCTTCGAAAGTACAGGCAATCGAAACTTTTAGAAGCAGCGCAAGGAAGGAGAAGTCTAAAGAAGTACGGCAGGGACCTTCTCGACTAACGTACTCCGCTGACAACATCACTAAACGAAGACGGGACTCGCACATCTTC